ATTGCAGAGACTGGAATATTTCATTGGCATTAAAGGAACCGCTCTAAGCTGGTTTAAGTCCTATTTATCAGATCGATTTCAGTTTGTACATGTTAATGATGAGTCCTCCATGCACGCCAAAGTTACTCATGGAGTTCCTCAAGGATCTGTCCTTGGACCAATCCTCTTCACTTTATATATGCTTCCTTTAGGCAATATTATCAGGAAACATTCCATAAGCTTTCATTGTTATGCAGATGATACTCAGTTATATCTATCGATCAAGCCAGATGAAACTCATCAGTTAGCTAAACTTCAAATGTGCCTTCAGGATGTTAAAACCTGGATGACCTGTAATTTTCTCATGTTAAACTCAGATAAAACTGAAGTTATTGCTCTGGGGCCTAAGCACCTCCGTGACGCATTATCTAAAGATATAGTTTCCCTGGATGGCATCGCCTTGGCCTCCAGCACCACTGTGAGGAATCTTGGAGTTATCTTTGATCAGGACATGTCGTTTAAGTCTCACATTAAGCAAATTTCAAGGACCGCCTTTTTTCACCTACGTAATATTGCGAAAATCAGGAACATCCTGTCTAAAAATGATGCAGAAAAACTAGTCCATGCATTTGTTACTTCTAGGCTGGATTACTGCAATTCCTTATTATCAGGCTGCTCGAAAAAGTCCATTAAGATCTTCAGCTGATCCAGAATGCTGCAGCACGTGTTCTGACAGGAACCAGGAAAAGAGATCACATTTCTCCTGTTTTAGCTTCTTTGCATTGGCTTCCAGTAAAATCCAGAATAGAATTTAAAATCATTCTTCTTACCTACAAAGCTCTTAATGGTCAGGCACCATCTTATCTTAAAGAGCTCATAGTACCTTACTACCCCACCAGAGCACTGCGCTCCCAGAATGCAGGGTTACTTGTGGTTCCTAGAGTCTCCAAAAGTAGACTAGGAGCCAGAGCGTTCAGCTATCAAGCTCCTCTCCTGTGGAACCAGGTTCCAGTTTGGGTTCAGGAGGCAGACACCATCTCCACATTTAAGAGTAGGCTTAAGACTTTCCTCTTTGATAAAGCTTATAGTTAGGGCTGGCTCAGGTAGTCCTGAACCATCCCTTAGTTATGCTGCTATAGGCCTAGACTGCCGGGGGATTTCCCATGATGCACTGAGCTCCTCTCTCCTCTACTTTCTCTCCCTCTGTATGCAATCTTATCCCGTTATTGCATGTTACTAACACAACTTCTCCCCTTTCTGGTAGTCTTGTGCTTTCTCGTCTCTCTCCTCTCTCCTATCACTTCCTGCAGGTTTTCTGGCTCTGGAGCTGTGGAGTCTGGAGCTGTGGCTGCGGGTCACCTGCTGCCCCCGTGTTCCTGCTCGACAACCTCTACTGCAACGACTATTGTTGCTAGTCTTATTGTTATTATTGTTATTATAATCATTAACATTACGATGGTTACCATTAACACTATTACAAATATCTGTACCATTTTTCATTTAGTCTATAGCAACATTACCTTCACTGTCTGTACCTCTGTGTGTATATTGTGTAGGCTGCCTCCCTCCCCTCTCTCTCTCCTTACATTTCTCTCTCCTTACATCTCTCTCTCTCTCTCTCACCCCAACCGGTCGAGGCAGATGGCCGCCCACCCTGAGCCATGGTTCTGCTCGAGGTTTCTGCCTCTTAAAAGGAAGTTTTTCCTTGCCTCTGTCGCCTAGTGCTTGCTCTTGGTGGGAACTGTTGGGCTTCTGTAAATAACATCACAGAGTACGGTCTAGACCTGCTCTTTTATGAAAAGCGCTGTGAGATAACTGTTGTTGTGATTTGGTGCTATATAAATAAAATTGAATTGAATTGAATTGAATTGTATTTTTAGTAAGAGGGGTTTTTAGCCGAGCTCTGCTCTGTTTATTTGGTGTTTTTTTCTGCACCATATCATCAAAGATTCAGAATTCAGAATGATTTGCACCGTTGCTAACGTCATAACATACAGCATGAAGAAGGAGTTGAGAAGCTGCTATGGGGCTCATGGAGATGTTTGCGCACGGCACAGGGAGCTTTATTGCAGTGTAAATGACAGCCTCCTAACTCAGATTGACAACCGATTTAGTGACCACAAAAAGCTGGCGTTCCTGGCCCTTCTAGATCCATAACACTTCAGCCATTACAGTGACTGTTTTCCCAATGCTGCCTTATCAAATTTGATGGATAGCTATGGTGTATATTTCGACCAGACCCGAATTCAACGTCATGTACAGCATGTCTGACTTTGCAGGTAAGAGCCAAGCCAACATTCATCAGTTTTTTATTCCAAAAAGGAATGAAAGAAGTATACACTGTCACATGCCTCATCCTGACAATACCTTCATCCACTGCCTCTGTGGAGAGGTCATTTTATGTGCTGGAGCCCATACATTCCATACCTACTCAAGGAACATGGCTGGGCAGGCTCGACTTTCAGACTTGGCCTTAATTTTCATAGAGAGGGAATTGGCTGTCAGCACAAGAAGTGGACTGAGCGATCCAGTGATCGACCAACCATGCAGTCGAATGAGCAATGCTGCAGGGAACGACTGGAGTAATGACCGAGAGCTGAGTTTGCAGAATTCTACTGGGTTTCCGGTTTTCTGGAAAGTAATCAGTTCATAGTCGTATTCGCAAAATCTGATGGTTATTTAAACTTATTTTAAATAAAAGCATTTCATGTAGGAAATTGGTTTGGCCTCGAATAAATTTTGCTCGGCACAAGCAAGCTGTGTCTCTGACAGAGACAGAGTGTAGTTGTTGTTGACTGTCTTGACAGAGTGATGTTGTTGACTTTGTTCCTTTCATTTGGCCCATTCAGTTTTCCGAAGTAGAAAACTAGACTGCAACATTTACTACATATTTGTCAAGTAATCTTTGGATGAATAAAATGTTGAGTATGTTTGTCAACTAAAACTAGATGAAAAGTTTCATGGTTTTTTTTAAGACATAAAATTCACCTTTTCCTTGGCCAGAGTTTCAGAATTTAGAAAAAGGGGGTGTGCAGCGGCTCCATCCAGGACCTAGTGTAGCAACCTTTCAGTGCACGGTTGAGTATTGTTTGTTGTGTATGCATGTTGAACCCTTTATATTTAGTTTTGTGTGTTTGTGCTAGTATGATATCCCAAGGTATTTGCATTGGCTTTGAGTGGTCCTACCCATGACCTCCCTCCACCCCGCTCCTCACCCCCTTATCCTGGTCAGCAGCTATTAGTGACTGATAGACACACTGCCTCCCTGTTGTTTTACCTATAGACTCTTGTGGAGACTACTGAGGCATAATCTAAACTAAATCCAGCTAAATTCGAAATATTAAACTTAATTTGACTGATTGTCAACTACAAGTATATTAAGGTTTTGTTGTTTACTATAATATTTCAAACACTGATTTACAAAAAAGACTATTGTCTTTAATTTGACATTAGTTATGAGATAGATCGGTCCATCCACTCGTGACCCTACCCACGGTAAGGGTTTACTCATCCTTTATTTTACGGTACCTTTACAGCACTGCTCATGACACTGTTGGTCATTGAGGTATCACCAGAGGCGGACTGGGACAAAAATTCAGCCCTGGCACTGTAGCCACACTAGCCCACATTACCACGCATACCCACTCATGAACACACATTCACTACTTAGGCTACATTTGTGTACAGATAGTGAGATCATATAAGCAGTAGGCCTACCATATGTAACAGATTTGTAACATTTTATGTATGTGACTGGCACACAATGCTTAATAGTTTTTAAAGAGCACAGGTTTATAACAAATTTACACATACAGTTAAAACAATGGCTGTCCATCTGACTATGTTGTAGAGTCTGTGCGCTCTCTGTCTGCTTATCTGCTGTTACTGTCTTTCTCTACTGCAGAGTTAATTACAAACCGAACATTTGTGTGTCTTCCTATGTTGAACTTCCTACCTCTACCACGCTCCTCCCTGTCTCTGCTAGACTTACAGTAGCATCCTACCTCACTGCACCGAAGACCAGGGGTCTGTTGCTGTGCTGATTACAGCAACATGCTAGTTCATGAACACAGTATAGGATGTAAACATTGCAGAAAAATGTTTTCTCACACACTGCTCTCAACATTGGAATACACATGAATAAAAACAAGTAAGTCTGGTAAATGGCAGAAGTGGAAAGGATTATGGTAGAAAGGAACTTTACTGACAATCAGATTATGTTGCGCTCTCTCTGATGATGTTGACTGAATGTGTCAATTTTAGTAACCTAATCGAGTTGGTCAGCCCATTTCAGGACCAGGCCGGTCGATACCAACTGGGCCAAATGCTTTATTATTATTATTATTATTATTATTATTAGGCATATCATTATAACCATAGCAAACTTGTGTAAGTGATGAAACCTCCTCTGCAATGTAGTCCTGTAAAAACTAAGCATTTATAAATATTCAGTGTTTCCCACAGAATGACCATTTTAATTCTACTTTATTTTCCACCTTTATTTTAGTGTTTACTTGCTAGCATACTTGAATCTGCTCTCTTTTCCATTAGTTAATATCCACACACAAGCACACACATTCACCTCTGCTGCAAACAGCATCCTACCTCTTTCTTTTTCTCTCTCCCTGTATTTGTCGGCTTTTACCTGAGCGGCCCCCCAAGTAAAGCCGATGTGTGGGAAATACTGATATTATTATCAATCTCACCGGCCCACCCCAAAACAAATGCTCCAGCTCCTGGGTATCAAAAACTGTTTCTGGCTGACAGGAAAAGTTAAATGGAACATGTATTTGCTAAATTTCCATGATTTTTTTTATAATCATACTGTATCTGGCAGCCATCCATAATTCAATGATTAATTACAAGCCCACATCGACCTGAGAACAGCTACGTGTTGGTGGCTTTTTCAACATCAAAGCTCAAATCTTCTTTTGGAAACCTTTGCTGAGTTGTGGTAAAAGTCTGTGGCTTTATTTGAAAATTCATACATCATTTTTTATTGTGATTTTTATTTTACTCACTTGTGTGGGCAGATGTTACGGCTGGCTTGCTTATTCTTCCACTTCTAAGCTTTGCAGAAACTTGGAGAGAGTAACACGCTCCTGGCTTCAGCTTGCTGAGAGTCAGGTTGTTTATGTCCGTTGTCATCTCTTGCACAATTTCTCCCTCACTGCTACAAGTCACAATGTAACTTCCCACTTCGCCAGGAGGAGTGTCCCATCTCAGAGACAGTGACTCACTGCTGACGTGATCGACTGTTATCTGCACAGGAGGACAGGGCTCTGTGGGAAAAATAGGATTAATTTATAACTGGAAATTCAAGTTCTGTCAATGTTTCTCTGCATTTTATAGCAAACCACAAAAGGTGTGGTAAAAGACAAAGACACATATAACATAAACTTTTTCATATCTCAGTGTAGAAGTACATTTGTATAGGTTATGAGCCCAAAGACAATACACCAACATTTTCCTACATGTGTGTTTTAAGGTTTTGTTGATTTGTTTTTCAGATTTACCTGTGAAGACACAAAGCGAAGTTGCTTTGCTTTGATTTCCATTGTCTGCAATCCTTATGATGCTGAAAGTATACTCAGTCCCAGGATGCAGTCCCTCAACCTTCACAGTGCTGGAGTCCTGTGAGATCAAACTGCCTCTCTGTGTGTCACAGGAGTAATCTATTTGCAGTCTGTACCCAACAGAGTAATTAGTGAGTTGTAAGCCAAGAGAAACAGTCTCCTGGCCAGCATTGAGAACTGTTACTTCTCCTGGTGGAGGAACATCTGCCATGAGAAAAGTGAAGTATTCCTCAATATTTCCACATTAAAGTACGTATCAAGTTATTAAACGACATCCGTCATTGACACTCACACTTACATTCAGACTGTGGCGTTGGTGAAGTGTACTCTCCTCCTTCACAGTAAAGATCAAGGAAGGAATCAGATGCATCGTAGAAATTCTTTAGTACATGAGAAAATATGCAGTTTAAGTGTAAGGAAGTGTAACTCATAATCCCATTCAAACTGATTTGGACACGAGACTATTCAACCTATATCACATTATTTGATTATTTATGTTTAGAGTAAAAAATAGCTTTTTACCTCCTCATCAGAGTCCTCCATTGTGTGTACACTCTCAGCCATCCCACACTTGGTCCAGATTATTGAAATGGCTTCTCACTAAAACAGAAAAGGATCCTGTAACATGTTCTTTCCCAACACACATACTTTAATCATCCCACAACTGGAGCCTTAAAGGACAGATAGTTAGTTAAGTCATGCATCTGTTTTAGGCTGTGGAAAGCCTACATTTGAAGCCTATTTCTGGTCTTCAAAAAAGAAAAATCTAAATAAATGAATAATTAAGTGTTACCTACCATTGTATGAGAGATTCATTTGTAGTAAAACATTGTATCTGTTCTTTTATCCAGGAGTTTTAATATATTATCTAACTGTATTTGTCCTGAGGTTAATGCTCTGCACTTTCCTGGCAATACAACAGCTTACTGCAGGCTTCTCCTTTTATATGGAGAAATGAAACCACTTTCTGTTTTGTTTCCCGGGAATAGATTATCTGGTTTCCATTAAAGCAAAACTTATTTTCCTGGTATCCTCCCTTTGTTGAAGGGAGAGCAGGAGAGAGATTCTTCTCTTTTCCCTGTCACAGGTTTAGTATATATATACAGTAAACTGTGCGTGTGTGTATTTTTATATGTATATATATGTATTGGCTACAGGCCTTTTGTGTTACTGTGCAGATTTCTACAGAAATCTGGGGGCAGATGTTAAAAAGGGCAGCAACACTTGGAACCTTCCACCCTCTATCTTATAGTGGTACTTTACGCTCAGAGATATTCTAGAAATATTAATAAGATTATTAACATAAAATAAAATGTATTAATTGTCAATTGTAAAAAGGATTTGTTCACCTAAAAAATTGTCAATAATCAAATCAAACATTATCATTCAATGATAGGTGAGTTTGAAGAGTGAGTCCGTACACTGGCCGTCACAACCAACTGATGTCACAATATTCAATACAATAACCACAAACAACGACTTCTTAAAAGTATAACAGGATTTATTCACTATAGCAAATAAACACTATCATCTAATCTAAGTCAAACAATCAAACATACGACAATCAACAAATGAAAGGGGAGTGAGTTGAGATGAGTGTGTGTGTGTGTGTGTGTGCCTGTGTGTGGGCGTGTTAGGGAGGTGTGTGTGTGGTGTGTGTGTGTGTGTGTGTGTGTGTGTGTGTGTGTGTGCCTGTGTGTGGGTATGTTAGGGAGGTGTGTGTGTGTCTGTGTGTGGCTGTGTGTGGGTGTGTGTGTGTGTGTGTGTGTGTGTGTGTGCGTGTGTGTGTGTGCGCCTGTGTGTGGGTGTGTTAGGGAGGTGTGTGTGTGTGGGTGTGCCTGGGTGTGTGTGTGGTGTGTGTGTAGTGTGTGTGCCTGTGTGTGGGTGTGTTAGGGAGGTGTGTGTGTGGGTGTGTGTGTGTGTGTGTGCCTGTGTGTGGGTGTGTTAGGGAGGTGTGTGTGTGGGTGTGTGTGTGTGTGTGTGCCTGTGTGTGGGTGTGTTAGGGAGGTGTGTGTGTGTCTGTGTGTGGGTGTGTGTGGGTGTGTGTGTGTGTGTGTGTGTGCGCCTGTGCGTGGGAGATGTCCTCAATGAGCAGATGCAGGGTTTGCCTTGGGCAGAGCCTAGTTATTCTGTACACACTTGAAAATAAAGCACAGCAGTATCACAAGCAGAAATTCAGGCAGTGTAATAGTGTCGTAACTACCGATTATCAACGAGACCCGCTAGTGCACGGAGTGTTCACTGGAGTGTGCTCGCCCCTTAACTCTGATAAAGGAAATTTCACTTTCACAGATTGCTGAAATCTATAAAACCCCCGGCCAATTTCTAACAGCGGACACAGCGGCCCATAAATCCACAATCAACATAAAGCTGAGCACATAACCAATACAATTATGTCTATATTTCTGCCTAGACACTTTAGTTAAGCCTCTTACTCAGGTTGCTCTTGGTAGCGACAATGTTAACGCCAGTTCTCAGTGGGAATGTGTCCGTCGGAGGTATTTCTCGGATCGGATCCTGGCGAGGCCGGGATACCGCTCGGTAGCGAGTTCACGGCGGCTATTCCAGTGGCAGCAGCGGGTGGAAACAGTCCAGTTGACTAAAATTTTGGAAGGTAGGACGCGTGCTTTTCTTCTTCCCTATTAAACACAGAGTATTAGTTATCCGTCTTCTTCTGCAGGTAATGATCCCTCATTAAACAACAAGGAACCTCAGGATCCAAAAAGGTTAATGTGTTTTGCGCAAACAGAAAGAGAACAAAAAAAGAAACGAGACAAGGGTAACAGAGCAGCGCTGGATCAGCGAGTTTGAGTCTGTATTCAGGAACAAAAGAAAAATCAACGTTGAGAAGACTGGTCTGTTTTTGAAAATAACTCCAATTCAGGCTTTTGGAAATTCAACAGGCTGGGAACGGGCCTTTAGGATGGCAGGAGGCCCAGCCTTTGTTCTACTAGACTGTCCTGGTCCTAACATACTACATAATAGAATTCCTGAAAAAAAGTTATGGCTTTTGGTTTAGTGTGCCACCCCAGGTTTTTCAGTGACCCCATCTGGCCACCCCTAGGAAGATTTTCTGGGGCCACCACTGGTGCTAACCTGTTGCTATCTGCAGACTATTAGCTCTCACACACAGTACGATACACAAAACTGTGTAGCAACGTGACAAACTTATTATAAACTAGCCAGGCTACTAACTGTCTCTGTACATTAATTAAATTACACTTTTTTTCTTCTGCAGCTTGTCACTACCTCCACAGAAAACACACACATTCGGCACAACACCAATCTCTGATCTGCTCTCCCTGTTAGTCCCGACCCTTAACCAGTCACAATTTTAGAAACGTGATTGCCATCTACATGGACGAATCGGAGGCCTCTCCTAAAATAAACATCGTAGTCTGTCACACCTCAGGGTCAGAGGTTACCCTCTTAAAGCGACAGAGCCTAATATGAGAACACATGTATGCTGCTATTTATAGCATTTTATGTATATGCTCCTTGCCAGGGTAGGCCACCTCAGCCCTCTTAGGGCTGTCAACTGTTTTTTTTTTGGTGGGATAATTCAGTGTCTTAAAGTGGTTAGCTGGCACTACTGTGGTCTTTTGGTTCCAACTTGTGGCAGTGCCAAGCATAGTGGTGTTTATTTATCGATTTTTCTCATTTAGATCTTTATGATGACTGGTTATGGGTTGTAATATGTTTTCTTACTCTGTATATTATTCCTCATTTCAGAACCACACATCTACCCCTATTTGACAATATAAAAATCTTTACCGGAAATTCTGGACTATTTTGTGACTTACCCGTCACTTCAGTAGTGGGTGGTAATTTCCAGAACGCAAGTATTATGAGAAGCCACAGTCAGCTGACATAAAATAACTTTTTTTGAGTGTAGAGGCGGAAGTCTCGAATCATTGTATGTTGCTGTGCCAGCCTTTGACTTTATTTTCTGATTAAACGACAATGACTTTGGAATTGTGGACATAAGGGCTTGTTAATAGTAGTATTGGGTACTGTAGGGATAATTTTTGACTGACGGCCTTTGGGTCTGGAACAGTATTCTTACACTGGTCCTTGCAAATTCTGACAGGGTGACGGGGGGGAGATGAATGGTGAAACAGCATGGAGTTTAGTGAGGAAGAGGAGAGGAGAGAGAATGAGTGGGAACTGGTAGTGAGAGGGATTACAACCATGAAAATGAATAGTTGTAAGAGAAAAGAAAAAGACACTTCTTGCATAGGTGGATTGGAAAGCAAAACAACAGCAAGATAAGAAGAAAGCATGGAAAGGGAAGAAGTTAGTGGCCTTCGGAATGATAATTGTAACATATGAGATCAAATCTTAAAATGAAAGGATCCAGGTTATGTGTAATTGAATATGATTAGTTTAAAAGAGTCAAGTCAAGAGACAGCACATTTAGGTTGACAATACTAATAATTTTAATTCTTTAGGCCCCATCCAGACTACAGAGTTTTCTTTTTAAGACCTTTTGCTACATTTGCACCTCATGTCCAGAGTAAGACGGCGAAAACGAAGATGTGCATTTTTAGTTGTTTTAATATAGACGGAGATCAACCCTGACACGCAGCTAAAACGTTGGTGTGGACGGAGATTGTATTCATTTTAAAATTTTAAACACAAACGGAGTATTGTGGATGGGGCCTTATTGAAATGCGAGAAGCCTGATTGGGAAAGACAAGATTTCAAGTAATTTAACATTCCTAGGAGAGAAATAAACAGACATTGTGTGTGTCCTGGTAAAAAACACATTTTTATTAACAAGTAAAAGGCACTCCACTTACACAGGATTAGCCAAAGGGTAAAAGGCTGTAGTCCAAAACAAACCAGAAATCCAAACAATGAAAGGTAATTTACCTGGGAGGCAGTGAAAGTCTGAAAACATGAACAGAGCAACAATGATCCAAGGTGCTGACAACAGATAATCCAAACCTGAATACAGGCAGAGAATCAGGCTGGCAGGAGAGCAGGCTTTCACACGCCAGCACACAATATGACATTATACAGTTACAGCTACAGAACCGCAATTACATTTCTCTTGGATTCTTGTCCAGTTTGATGTAAAAAAGTGAACATGTGTTTTAACACAATCTTTCCAAGGTAATATGCAAAAATAGTTTTAATCTCCATTTGCTTAATTTCTTCACGTTCCAGTCCATTCCTCAGTGAAAGTCTTACATTTGAGTATTTGGTGCACACAAATGGAACATGTTCCACTATTTCCAGCTGATTGCAGGCCTCACAAGTTCCAGTGGGATGTCTTCCAATAAGGTACAGAGACGTATTTAAAGAGGTGGTATTATGCTCATTTTCAGGTTAAAAATCTTAATTAGGGGTTGTACCAGAACAGGTTTACATGGTTTAATTTTCAAAAAACACCATATTTTTCTCTTACTGCACATTGCTGCAGCTCCTCTTTTCACCCTGTGTGTTGTACGCTCCGCTATTGAGCTACAGAGTGATGCATCTTACTTGTACAAAATCTTTGTTGGGAGTTGCACATGCGCAGTTCCCAGGTAAGGACTACTAGCCAATCAGAAGCAGAGAAGGACTCGTCGTAAGAAACAAGGTAGTGTGATCCAAATCAAAGCCGCTTCAGACTGCGACCGTAACCCAGCAGATGGTGTAAGTTACTCAAGTCCACAACACATTTTTGCATTTGCATTTTTGTTCCGCCATCACTTCTCATAAAACCTTCAATATTCGAAATGTACACAGCTGATTTCTCACCTCAAAACTTCTCAGAGGTGCATTTAGTGATGAAATTCCATACGAAAACTGTAAAATATCAAACTTTCTGTTGCTGGCCTCTGTCTGGCGCACGCAATGATGATGCTGTGAATAGTGACGATTCTCTCTGACTAATCAGCAGTCTGTCGTGTTTTAACATTACAGTTTAGTATCCCTCAGCTCGCCTGGAACCTCGACGGAGGTGAGGTGATACGAAAATGACAAAGAAAGGAGAGGGAAATAGGTGTGCCAGTAGGCATTTCCTGTGAACTAACTATTAATAATAACAAAAGTTTTCAATATAGGTTTTTTATTTCATAAAAAATTCCACCAAAGGCAGATGGTAATAGGCTGACTTTACCATTAGTTAATGTGTTTGTAGGTAGTTATCAATATGTCAGTTAATGATAATATTTGTTTGTTGTTGCAATAGAAGGTGTTCTGATAAGTGTTATTATATGCTATTTCAATGTATGGAAACAGGTTTTAAGTGCATTATTCAACCTTCATTCAACCTTGTTACTCATTCTAAGTTCAACCTGAAATATAGTCTTTTTCACACATTATTTACTGCTTTAATGCTTACTATAATAACAATGTAATACCTTGATTATTTGGTTAAAATGATATTCGCCAATTGGTAATATTTTCTTTTTTTAAATCAAAAATAACTTGATGAAGTCTTTCACATTCACTTTATATCGATAGATTTAAAAGGGTTACATTCAGTACATAAATATATAGATTATATCTAGAAAACATGAAAATATGTTGCAATGGAATTTTGAAAATAAAATAATCTTAAAAACATAGTTTGTTTTTTAAAGGTTTCAGACCCAATTTTCACTCCATTTGCGAAAAGGCCTATATAACAGGTGCAGTTTGCCAAAAACAATTTCCACTAGCTTGGGGTTTCTGAATTCACTGGGAATAAAATTCTTGCCACTGGTCACTTGTCACACCATCAGAAAAATACTTTGATGCGTTATTTTTCACTTGTTGCCCATTATCATGTGGGCATCCTGTAGCATCATGGTTTCTAACCAGTAAAGTCACTGTAGCAGAAATTCATCTCCACTGCAGCCGCCACATGACCGAAGGCCTAAGATGCTGCAGTTGGCATTTGCTAGTTTCATTGTTCTTTGTTTTGGGGTTAAACTAGAAGAATCAAGTAGTCTGAACTTTTTTGTTTGTTTTTTGTTCAAGAGTTAGCAATTTTGTATTTTAAAATACATCTTGTGATCCAACTATACTCCTGATGAATCTGTATTCATGGAAACATCCCAGAGGGTACGAGTACTGATAAAAGCCAGATGTGGCCAGCTGACTAATGTAATGGTGGTCTATGTGTGTTTCATGGTCAGGACTTCTTAACTGAGACACTAAAGGAAGTGCAGTCAGTTAAAAGTTAGTTCACCTCACTTGTAGCAGTGTTTACATGTAGCCACTTAATCACATGTGCGACAGACATGAAGGGCTTTTTTCCTTCCTCATGCTGTGTTGCATTGTGGGTACATATCACTGAGGTAATAAAAGATTACATATCCTGTGTCAGGTCAGTGGTGCATGGAAGTACATGATCAACACCCCACAATGGCAAAAACAAACAGAGATAGTGATACATTGCAATTAATTGTCCTTTGTACTATATGTAGCTTTGGAAATATTGTTGCTATACATTCATGCCAATAAAGCTAATTTAAATTTTGATTTGACACTTACACACTGACACACATAAACCTTCAGCTTGGTCTCCATTGAGAAGTTGCACCTGTTGTCTTGTTTTTACATTCTTTGTTGAATTCAGAAACCCAAGACTTGAGATGAAGAAAAATATTAAATAATGGAATAAATAAAAAATGAATTAATTATTAATGAATTATTATAACAAAAAGCTATAGTAAAACTATATAAATAAATGAGGTGATGATGTTTCTGTTTACTTTAGAAGTTATTATACACTGTATGCTGTGATTCTGATCTGGGAAACATTAAAGACATTCATAGCCAGTCTGCTGATTTTGTCTCTTTATTGAATCAGTTAACACAAGGAAGTAATGTGTACATGTTGACAACACCACATATAGAATGAATGATCCTTTATAAACGGTAAATATTTGGCACAAGATACTAAATTGTAATATAAACAAAGAAATTGTAAATTATGAGTTAAGAAAACCACATATATACTCAATTAGTATAATAGAACAAATATGTGTCTGCCACGTGTAGCCTACATGGCAAAACCACATAAAAATAGATTTTAAAGAATTAAATGTAAAAATGTCACATCAGATATGTCACAAAAACAATCAATAAAAGATTTCTTATCATTAATTTGATGAAAGAAAAATAAATTATGACTTTGTTTCTTTGATTACCTATGTATGTTAACTGTATATCGTTTTTTGTCACACAAAATTGATAAATTCAAAGTCAGATTTAATCACATTTAGTATGTTTATAACGTGCCCATACATTGACTCAAAGTATGAAAAAGTATTTTAGAATGTCCTCATCAACATGTACACAGAGGTAAAGCAGACTATGTCTATTAAACAAGGTAAATTGGATCTCAGGTTAAGGTGAGGACTAATTGCAGTCATTTTCCATTTTGTAAGCTGCAGTAATAAAATATCTTTGTCTACTGATAATATCTTCAACCATGTTATATACATCATGTTGCTACTTGTGATTTTCTTCTCGTCATAAACAAGTGAGATGTTGTTTCTCACTTGATGTTAAACGACACTTTGAGGCTCCGCTCTGCTTGCTCGTGTGATTTTTTTCAGGAAGTTTCAGGAATATCAGCAGGCTCTGCATTATATGCTTTAGCAAACTCCTTGTTGAACTTTGCCAGTACATATTTCCAGTAGTCTGACGCCTCTAAACTTACATCTGACTGGATTATCCAGTCTGGGAAAATTTCTCTGTAGTTCTTGTAAGGGTGCCATTCACCTTTTGTACCATTACAGCGAAAATGTGCCTCACTGTTCACCAAGGACGAGCATATGTCAATGACAAGTTTTTTTGTCCCATCGCACTTGAATCTACCCAGACCCTCTGGCCGATATAGTTGAGCAAAGTGCTCTCCATGTTTATCTGCTCCTGCGTCACAAGGAGCTTTGCAGAATGGACACTGTTTCCCACATCCAATCACCTGGGTGAAAAGCTCGTTCTGGGGCTTCACATGAAGATTTTTCAGTTTCATTTGGATGTTTTCTGTTTTAAACTTCTCTCTAAGAGCCTGTGCCATGTCCTTCACACACTCAGTGAGCCAGTGAGCAAACTGTTCCTGGTCGGCATTGTTCATGAACATGAAAGCACCAAGAGCATCCTGGGAAATGACCAGTTTATCAACAAGTTCTTGACAGACATCTTCAACAAATGTCTTCACGTTACCACTCTTTTCTGTTTTAGCTTTGTTGATAGCATCATTTATGCTGCTGATACTTGACAGAACATGTCGATCCTCAAACTAAAAAACTCTATCACCCTTTGAAAAGTGTTCTTCTATTTGTTTGTGTGTCCATTTCTTTACATGATCCTCATAGGAGTAAATGTAGCTCTTATAGTTTTCAAAGTCATCCTTTGAGAGCAAATCCAGTAAAACTGAATACTGGAAGAACATTCGTGTGCTGAACTGGAACCTTGTCAGCATTTCACCAGTAATATCAGGACCCAATGAACGGTTGACAAAGTCTTTGACTGCAGGCCTCAAGCAGCGGCTTGTGAATTCTTCTGCCTTCTTCTGGCACTGGTCTCGTTCATGAAACACATCTTTGAAATTAACACGAAACTTTTCTTTGTTTTGATTCAGACATCTGTAAGGATCATTAGCACGTATGAAATCTTCATGCATTTTCTGAAACTGTCTGGCTGCAACTCCACAGATGTGCTGTTTTAGAGAAACTTCAAACTCAGTGGTCTTAACACTCTGACTGTTCTGCAGCCGCTCATCAATCATGTGTAGGATCTCCTGGATGTAAGTGTCATGGTAATTGTTTTTCCTTTCCATTTTTTCTGTCACAAACTGTGTGCAAGCATCTATGATGCTGTCAGCCATGTTCTGTGAAGCCATCACATGATCATTAATGAAGAGCTTGCTGAATTTGTGTTTAAAATGGTTCCAAATTCCTTCCACTGTATATTTGAAAGGCATCAGTCCACAATCTTGCAGCCTTTTTTAACTTAATAACTGACATACATGACTCCCCTTCCATGACAGATTTTCTCTGAGGTAGTGGCCCACATTTGTGAAGACATTTGTGGCCTTCTGTTGAGGAAAAGAGAGTTCATTCACCATACTTTTCCACATCTTATCAAATTCTTGGTCTAGTTCTTTGTCTGTCATCTGGACTTTTTTTCCCCCGACATTCCTCAATCAGCTGACGCACTCTCCCCTCTAATTCTTTTGTGTGGTTTTTCTTGATTCTGTCAAGTTTTGTCATTCCCTGTCTGATGTCAGCTGCTGCTGTGAGCTGATTATATACAGAGCTCTCCATTTCTCGACGAAGGCTCTTTGCACTGATTGAGAATTCCTCTCTGTATCTTTCAACTAGATACACATTGCTCAAAGTACTGTTTTAAATTTCCAAGAATTTTTGACTCCCATTTAGTCAGCTCTGTGCAAGCTTCACTTTTCAAACTAGTGAGAAGTTCTTTCATGTCAAATATCTCAGATTTTCCAGCAACTGTGCCGAAATTAGAAATTCTTGTTTCAGCTTTTGTAACCCAAGTGTACATTTCTTTTTTTTAATTCCCATTCCCATTTGTTGAACTCTGTGCTCAGCCTCATGTATGCATCAGCCACTAGGCTGTTTCTGAAGCGGAAGATGAAGTTTTCGTGCTTTACTGCATTCCACAGGCTTTCCATCCACTCTGTAAACTCCATGATATTATTAGCAGATGACTCACACCTTCCCAAAATTTGGATGATGTTCTTCTTGAGCTCATAAACGGCCTCACTGTACCCTGCATTGACTGGTGCCATTGGTGGGTTTCCATTCCAGAGTCCAGGAATGTACCAGTTCCCAGTGTCGGGACTGTACTCCATCACATCAGTGAAGCTCTTGTTCTCCTCTTTCTTTTCCATCTTGGCTGCTGCCTGGGTCATCTCGTTTAGCTGCTGCAAGAGCAGTTTCCTGTCTCGTAAGTTCTTGTCATGGGCTGAAACATCTGACACATTCTGGTGAACAAACATACATTTGGGCTTTTTGCCCACCTCTTTCATCCTGAGAAAAGCATGCACAACTATTTGTAGGATGTCCTTCATTTCTGTTGAATTCTCCATTGCAATATTGATGATGGTGATATCACTCAGCCCCACAACAAGTGTTGCAAGCTCGTTGTCGTGCTCATGGCTATTGTCCAGTTGAGCAAGCTCTGGTGACTTTAAGCCCTCAGTGTCAATGATCACCATGAAGTCACAGTTGAGTTCTTTTTTGACATCTTCATTGATTCTGATCAGCAACATAAACGCACCTCGAGTGCATCGACCACTGCTGACTGCAAACTGCACTCCAAACATGGTGTTGAGGAGAGTGGACTTTCCTGTGCTCTGAACTCCAAGAACTGTGACTACCAGTATCTTGCTCTTAGGAGACACCAAGTCATTGAGCTGAGAGAGAACGTCACTCACCCATCTGAGAGGTATGTTGGATGCATCTCCATCTACAAGCTCAAGGGGAAATCCATCAAGCAACAACTCTGCGCATAGTCTGGGCAGATTTTGTAATTGTTGACGTGATGGGTCTGTTTCTGGAAGGGAAAGTGAAGCTTCATAGATCTGACCCATTTCACGGAAATGTTCAGTCCCCATTGAGGTGTTGGAAAGTTGCCTGTCAATTTCTTTGATCTCCTCTTTGTTTTCAGAATTTTCACATTTCTTTTTGTACTGCTCCCTGAGGCCAGACAGTTTTTCTTGAGACAGGTTATCGAGGTTCATTCGCATCCATTTCAGGAAATATCTCCTCTCTATCCCTGGACTTGATATTGCTTTGATGAAACATGTCATAGCGTTTGACATGTCATAAGAGTTCTGTTGTACCCAAAGTTTTATTTTCCGTATCTGAAGATCACTTTTGTACTTTTCTATGTTTTCAGACCCAACTTTTCGAAGGCGAAATTCTTCCTTCTCTAAGACAGTCAGTTCCTTCCATATTTGGCCCTGCAAGGGAAGCTGAGCTTCTTTGTATTTAAGGGTGTCTTGAATTTCTGCAGTGATGGCATCTGCATTTTTCTTGGCAGTTTGGCACTCTGCACAGTCCTCATCCACCAAGATACCTAATTCATGGGCAATGTCAGCCATCTGCTCAATCCCCATCTTCATCTTTGTGTTCTCAACTACATTGCTGACTGTTTTCCGCAGATGTTTGATGAAGTCTGCATCATTCATGTGCTTAGCCTTCAAACGGATGTTGCTGTTAGTCAAGCCCAACTTTCTCGCTAACCTAGTAAGAGCATCTTTACTGAAGCTCTGTGTTTGGTGGTTGCCCACTAAGAAGATCTGTGCCTTGTGGTGTTGGTTGGTAAGCAGCTCGCACTCAGAGTCCAAATTGTCAAAGAACACAAACACTGCTGCAGATGTCTGACACAAAAAAGAAAATTGTGTTTCAAATGAAGCAATGTCCCCACGAAGGTTAGCTACAGCTACAGGCTCACTGAAAATATCCATGTTTTTGTTCCCACATGGAAGGTACCAAGTAACTTCAGTCAATCCATTGGATATTCTCCTTGAACTGTCACCACACCATGTTACGGTGAATAAATGTGTCATGGTACTGCTGAGAATTGCTCAGAAGCTTATTGAGGGTCTCAGACTTAGACAATGAGCACTCACCCAGTCTCACAAATGATATCATTGGAAGTTCAGAGACAACAATCCTGTCTTCAGTGAAACCCTTGGACTCTGAAAGTGACTGAGGTCTGTACCTTCTAACAATGTCTCTCATGGCCCAAAGCATGAGTGTGCACTGCTTTGTGTCACAATTAGGAAGCAGCAGAGGCACAGAAAACTGACACAGAGACATTTTGACTGCCATTTCCTGCCGTACAAAACCATCAGAACACAGAAAGAGAGCAGTGATTATGTCAAGGGGGTTTATCACGTCACCTGAATGTAGACTATCAAACAGACCATCAAGATCTAACCCTGTATTTCCTGAAGCATCCTCACAGGTTGATTCACATTCTGATGTACATTTCACATTTCTAGCTGTCACGTTAACCATCATCAGTTTCTTTAGAAAATACCATGGAAGATCTGAATTACACTTGGCAGGTTCATGACTAATGGTCCTCTCTTCAATCTGAAGTACTGTGCCCAGGGATAGCTTCTCTGCGAAGTGGTGCTCCAACCCCAGATCCTTCAGTAAGCTCTCTAGTTGTGTCTCTGTGGATATGAACATGTTTCTTATTTTACACCAATCATGCGTGTTTTAATAAAACATTTATGCAAAGTTAATTGACACATAGAGCAAATCTATGTGTGCTGAAATGTCTGGTAATGCTGCACAATAAACACTTTTTTATCTTGCCTTTGCATTTAAGCTGAAGTTAGCTAAATGCTAACAAACATCCAGAAAATCAGGGTTTTTTGTGTTTGTTTTTCATCTGGTGTTGACAATATAATAATGTGTTCAGAAGATATTAAGTAATATCTTGTGGCTTCTTGTTTCACAGTAACCCACTGCTAAAAAAAGTTGTTTCATATATATTGTATATATGAAGGTAAGGTTTAAGTACAACCAACAAATAATTAAAAAAATGTTATAATTTAATTCAATTAACTGCATAGTTTCTTTTGTTTTACAAATTTTTAAACAAGCTAGTCAGAATATTATGTCTGAAATATAAAGCCCTCCCAACAATTTAAAAGAAAAGTGGTAGAGAAATTCAAGTAGTATATATAAAAGCATTAAATTACACAAATAGACAAATCATTTCTTGTTACAGGTCTGTTGCCTCACAGGAGGGGCCAAAGGATAAAATGTGGGTCAGTATGCTGGGTAATTAATCTGCCCATCCACTCAACACATTGGTCCAGAGCAATTAAGATTATCATAATAAATCTAAACCCCTTAGGACATTAGGAAAACAAAACAAATTTGACAATAATAATGAAAAAAATACATAAAGGTATAGGCTACATACTTCAAATAGCGGTGGCACTACACACCGTCACGCCATACTCAATCCGCCTGACAGTAACAGATCAGCTCTGTCTAGTCTAGTTTCAGTTGGTGGGCTATATTATCATCTTATTTTTACGGGCCTGACTGATAGTGAAAAGCTCATCAAATACTGGAGAAGTGCTTCCACTTGGCAAGTTAGGTTCTTCAGGTTTCCTATACAGATGATTCCCAGTAAATTTGGTTTAATTTAATGATTGTATGACTGCAGCAGAAAAGAATGTATTGATAAGGGTGTAATCTTTGTTCTAGATGTACTTCGACCTACTGATGAAGGTGAATTTCTGTGAATATGAGGATCTTGTCCATAATAAGGGCTTGGATACTTCTCGAAAATAATTTCATAAATGTACATAAAGCACATCTCCAAAAATACTGTTCTTAAAAGTGCATTGTTATATGGTCCTTTAAAAGGAGATATCCCCCAAGATCTCACTTGGGGTGGAAAGATCTTTTTAACAGTATGTGTAATAATCGCCATATCAGAAAAGTACTGATCTCTGGTGATGATGATTTTCCTAAATTGTCTCTCTTATGGAAACTAAATTTCCCCAAACTCTCGGCAGAAAATATCTGGTCAGGATCTCATAAATTTCTTATTCCATATAAAAGTAAAGAAGTTCTTGTGGAAATTTTAGATGGATACTATTCCTTTTTAAAACAAAGTTAAATCAGATATTTTATATTCTTTTATGTTCCCCTTTATGCTGTTTCTGTAAACTTAAAAAAAGTTAAATACATTAGTCACCTTTTCTATAATTGTACTTATTCTCAAGAATTCTGCATAGAACACATACACCCATATTAGAAGACATGGACCCATTAATAATTCTCACAATAATGTGCAACTAAACTAACAGTATTAAAAGTCAAAGGCTGTATCTGAAACCACACTTTATTTACTAGCCTATTCAGTCCTCTACACTCTGCGATTTGATCTAAGTGTCCAAATTGCACATGCGAAATTACCTATATAGTGACTTCAACAATACATACCATGGAATGAATAAAGAAGCGTATGTTGGCAAGTACGCTACTTTGTGCTAAAAATCTGTAAATTAGTAAGGACACAAAATAACGTTGATTCAAAGTGTCTGAAATCTCATTTTACAGCTCTCTATAGTGTAAACTATTTAGTGCCTATTATGTGGGAAAGTTTAACTTTTTGCAGTCTCTACTTCATTTTCATAAGTTTTGTGTGTGTAGCATTAAGGCACTACAAACTTTCATTTTGTTTAGTAACATTGCGTTGTAGTGAACAACGGTGTGGATTTGTGCATTTTACATTGAATAAATTTGGAGCTACCCTAAATTCCTTTCTCCTCCCCAGAGAAGATGGGGAGGGGTCAAAGTTGCTTTCTCTAAGTGCTATCCCGACCATAAAACTGGCACCTTTTTGATTCCGAAGCTGATAACGCGGGGCCTGACTGTTAAAACTGACAAAGAGACACGCACCAGCCATTGGCATCTCCCTGAACAGCCTATCAAAACTGGCGCCCCACACACGTTTCCGTGGCAACTGACCTTATTCTTTGTTTCATTACCACATCAAAAAAGGAAAACCCCTGTCTCACCTAAGTGTGACATGGTCCAGACACTGAACTTTGGATGACAGAGGACTGCAGTCTCCAAAGACTCAAAGCATTTAATGAAGTTAATTAAATCTTTAGTTGCCTGAATACGTTTGCCTCTATTTGAGTAGTTATGTTAACTGTTGTTGCTATCTGTTGTTGATATTAGTGCTGAAAGAAGTTACTTGTGCAATGTTTTGATTTTCAGCAAGACACTCCTTCATCTAATGTAATCAATGCTTGTTCATAATACTTTCTAACAAAATCCCTTTAGAAATGATGACAAAGAAATGTTTTACTATACTCTTAATCGCCAGCTTGAATTTAAGGATGAATCAACAAATTCCCCGGTTCCTAAGGAGAGACGATCTTTGATTTAATCCAAGCTTTCCTCATGTAACCTGAGCTCCCCAAAGTGGACGAAATAAGTATTACATGCCCTCGTCAGAAATGCCGTTAAATGTATAAATATCCTGACCAATAATGTGACAATTGTTTCCTGTTACCAAATGCCTAGAACGGTACAACCGTTCAACCATTGAGGTTCGATTGTGGAAAATATTTGATTATAATACGTGCAAATAGATTTCTTTTCTTTAAACATTAAGTTTAGAAAGGCAGTCCCTTGGGAAACCTGAGACGCCCCCTGGGGAACCACGCCCCAGACAACAAAAGAGCGACACGCGACCTGCTTCGCTCTCTCTTCGCTGTTGGCTCTCTTCCACTCTGTTCTGCTCTCTGGACGCTTCGGCACGCGCCGGCGTGCCGCGCCAGGCAACGCCCTCAGTCGACCAGCGAAACAAACAGGCCTTTGTTCGCTTGAAGCTACACACGTGAAGTGCCGAGACATCGATCTGCCCTTCAGTTTGTTTTATTTTCTTTATTTCTTTTGTTTGTTAAAGTTATGAGTCCGTTAAGTTACACTGGACTAATTCAGGAACGACCAAGTTCCATTTTAAGCCTTTTTCGTCGAGCCAACTTCACCGAGGTCAGACCAAGCCACGTGGTCTCGCCAGCTACAACGAAGGAAACCTGAAAACAGCCGAATTGCCAGACGGAGGAGGCGTTTTCAATCAGACACGGAGAACCCTGGAGAATCCCTAGCAAAAAGCCAGGATCGGCAGCTAGCATGGGACCCAAAACAGGCCAAAAGCAGACTGTCGACAAGCAGTAAGACTTAACACACGTTCTGTGATCAGATGTCCATTTTAACTCCTAAATTATAGCATTAGTTTACTTTCATTAGTTCTTCTATGCCGTATGAGTCAAATGCTTCCCACAATCGAACCTCCAGGCTCATTGTTCAGCAAATGTTTATGTTCCCTGTATCCAACCGCCTTTTTATCACCTTAGTTAGAGAATAAATTCACTGTAATATAATCAAGAGCTGTGTGTTGCCTATTTTCAATTCAATTTTATTTATATAGCGCCAAATCACAACAACAGTTATCTCACAGCGCTTTTCATAAAAGAGCAGGTCTAGACCGTACTCTGTGATGTTATTTACAGAAGCCCAACAGTTCCCACCAAGAGCAAGCACTAGGCGACAGAGGCAAGGAAAAACTTCCTTTTAAGAGGCAGAAACCTCGAGCAGAACCATGGCTCAGGGTGGGCGGCCATCTGCCTCGACCGGTTGGGGTGAGAGAGAGAGAGAGAGAGAGAGAGATGTAAGGAGAGAGAGAGGGGAGGGAGGCAGCCTACACAATATACACACAAAGAGGTACAGACAGTAAAGGTAATGTTGCTATAGACTAAATGAAAAATGGTACAGATATTTATAATAGTGTTAATGGTAACCATCGTAATGTTAATGATTATAATAACAATAATAACAATAAGACTAGCAACAATAGTCGTTGCAGCAGAGGGTGTCGAGCAGGAACACGGGGGCAGCAGGTGACCCGCAGCCACAGCTCCAGACTCCACAGCTCCAGAGCCAGAAAACCTGCAGGAAGTGATAGGAGAGAGGAGAGAGACGAGAAAGCACAAGACTACCAGAAAGGGGAGAAGTTGTGTTAGTAACATGCAATAATGGGATAAGGTTGCATACAGAGGGAGAGAAAGTAGAGGAGAGAGGAGCTCAGTGCTTCATGGGAAATCCCCCGGCAGTCTAGGCCTATAGCAGCATAACTAAGGGATGGTTCAGGACTACCTGAGCCAGCCCTAACTATAAGCTTTATCAAAGAGGAAAGTCTTAAGCCTACTCTTAAATGTGGAGATGGTGTCTGCCTCCTGAACCCAAACTGGAACCTGGTTCCACAGGAGAGGAGCTTGATAGCTGAACGCTCTGGCTCCTAGTCTACTTTTGGAGACTCTAGGAACCACAAGTAACCCTGCATTCTGGGAGCGCAGTGCTCTGGTGGGGTAGTAAGGTACTATGAGCTCTTTAAGATAAGATGGTGCCTGACCATTAAGAGCTTTGTAGGTAAGAAGAATGATTTTAAATTCTATTCTGGATTTTACTGGAAGCCAATGCAAAGAAGCTAAAACAGGAGAAATGTGATCTCTTTTCCTGGTTCCTGTCAGAACACGTGCTGCAGCATTCTGGATCAGCTGAAGAGTCTTAATGGACTTTTTCGAGCAGCCTGATAATAAGGAATTGCAGTAATCCAGCCTAGAAGTAACAAATGCATGGACTAGTTTTTC